CGTATCGCCGCTGCCCAACAACTCAGCAACACACCCGTTCACCGCAGAGGCCAAAAGAGACAGGCTGTGGACAATTTGGAGCTTCTCAGTGTACAGTATCAAATTGAAGCCCTCTTGCGGAATTTCTCTCAGCTTGATGTCTCCCAGGTGCCTATGCTTCAGGGCCTACCCGCTCCACAACAAGAACAAGAACAACTCATTGGCGGGGTCGTCCACACTCTCACTACCTATCGTGATGAACTTCAACAAGCTTGTCGCCCTCACGACCCTCCAATCAACCCTGGCCACTCATCCGCAGCTTCCTCAGCCCCCCCAGGCCAATCTTTTTCGACCGATCCTATCCACAGCGGCACTGGCCTACCACTTCCCTTGCCCGATTCAGGATCTATGTCTTTGAATTCTACGTCGACAGAGTCTCAACATACTCTGGACCCTCCGTTTCCTGCTGAACGAGCCCAGGATTGATTCTCGTTCCCACTCTTTCGATTTCCTTTCCCAACATCAAGTCGAGGCCGTACAAGCTTCCCTGATCTCAGGATTCTCTTCGTTATGCGTTGAAAAGTTTCGCGACCTCTTCGATCCTGCTTGGATGTTTTCTTGTTGTTTTTGATTTTTTCCTTACATTTCCTTACATGTCCTCATGATTGCTCTCCACCGCAGCCGCCGGCTCCTACCACTTCCACTGTTCTATTTTCTATTTTCTTATCCTTCACCCTGCTCGATGATTTCTTCCCCGGGTCTTCGTGTACCTGAACCTCTGACACAAATGATTCCTACATCACGTACTTCTTGGCGTGAAGTTCGTCAACCCTTTGAAACATATTGGACATGGTTCCCGACCTATCTACCGTCCGATTTGAATTGGAAGTCAGCTTGCTCGTCTATCAACCCCTGAACTATATCACAGTGACTCTAGATTGGCAGCAGATTGTCACCAAGGAGTACACGGTTGACGATCTCAAAGATGTGATCTACTCCCGCTTAGGCCAAATTCGTACGGCCTTTTGGACCTCGACCGGTGATTCACGAGTTTGGGAAGTCCCACACACATGCACCCTTGAAGACCTCGTCCTCTACTTCGTCAACTCACGACGGGTACGCCCACTGGGACTCGCCACTGAATACCCCCGCGAATCCGTTCCTTTTCCCTATCGACCTCTCCACACAGTCTCCCCGCCTACATGATGACGCTATTGGTCAACTCCGACTACCACTGACTGCATACCAGACCTATCGTGAGATTCGTCAATTCACCTAGTCTCACCCCACCTTTGGCGCGGAGCTTAAAATCTTGCCTCCCCTCGGGGAGGCGTGTGTGTGTAACCCTTGGAATCATTGGGATCCTTTTGGATTTGTCCGGTTTGCTTTTTCATTCCTGTCACAGCAGGGGGTGCCAGGGACCGTGCAAGTCTGGCACTAACAAAGACGCTTGCATTGAAATCGATTTGGGACGCCAAATCGACGTACCTGCCATTTTCCATTTTTCGAATGGCGAGAGGCTAAGCCAAGAACCTCACGACACGGTATTACTTAGGGATTTGGTTCACTTTCTGCAGATGTGCACGAGCCGCCGTCACCCTGTTCGATTCGCTCGCCGTCTTCGACCTTGAGCTTTTGGCCTTACTTCCTTTTACAGACCCCCAGGTTCTTTAGGACTTTCCTGGACTTTTCAGGATTTGGGTCCCTTAGGCTGGCGTGTGGCACCGCTGTCAGTTCAGTACACCCTATCCTAAGTGTGTGTGTGTGTGTTTGCTGTATTTCTTTTTCAGTCGACACCCCCCTCGCATCAGAGAGCCTGGTTCATGACGTAGTTATGATGTTTTTTTATACCAGATGTTTGATGTGTTTTTAAACCATGTATTTTGTTTTACTACGTATGTGTTCCTAGATGTGTTGGATGTGTTTGTACTGGGTAATTACCTGAGAAGGGAGGGGACGAAATCCAGCCCCCCCCCGCCCGCGTAAGTTGACGGGACTTTACTGCATCCGTTTTCTTTCTTGTTGTTTTTCCTTCCTTCTTCTTCTGCCTTCTTTCTTCTTCCTCGTTGTTTCTTCTTCCTCCATGTTTCTTCTTTACTTTCTTCTTCTTCCTACTTTCTTCTTCTTCCTCCTTCCTTCTTCCTCCTTCTTTTTTTTTCTTCTTTCTTCTTCTTTCTCCCTCTTCCTTCCTCTCCCTCCTCTTCCTTCTTCTTGTTCTTCCTTCCTTCTTCTTGCTTCATCGCATGTTCACTCTCTTCCGGACATTCCCGAGCGCCCTAGCGCTTCTGCTGGTGTCAACTGACACAAGCTGGCCACGTTGCTCATGACCTCTTCAAAGTGCTTGACATGCAAGGCAGGTCTTAACCAGAGATGCAGCTAACAGCTGACGATAACACAAAATGACTCTGCATGCTCTGCAGGTCTGAAGCCGCGGGAAGCAAAAATGCTGGCGCCTCCAATCTGGTGTCGGATTCACCAGGATAGACCCGGAATGCAAGCGCTCTGAGAGTTCAACCCAGCAGTAGTTACTCTCCCCAAATCAAACGTAACCCCCTAAAGTGTTTTTTTGGGCAACCTGGGACGAGGATATGTTAGCAACTAGGAGAAGCATTGAACGTGACCCATGCCCTGAACGTGGTATCGGTGAGGAGGACATGTTAGCAACAGTCTGCAGGGGAACATGTGTTGCAAATCCTCCGACATGGAAGCAGCCATGTTAATTGATGCCGGGAAAATTGAAGTTTCATGACTCTGAAATGGCAGAAGTGGTGTTTGCGAGGGGGGATATGTTAGCAACTAATGTTTTTCTGGTTGCCAAACAAACCTAAGTTTGCCTCCAATGAGTGCAAGCAGCAACTGGGCTCCAGGGAAGCTCTACTAGAAGCAAGATCCCTCAAAGAAGCAAGATGTTGGAAGCTCTACTGTAGACTTCAGGTGGTTGGGTTTTGAAGAACAACTGTTCACATGCACCAGGAGCATGGCTATCATGGGTCTCATTCACTATATTCATTTGGGGGTGGCCATGTTACTCTGTTTCGGCACGTGCAAAGACTCACATAGCCCTCCAAAAGGGGCATTGATTCTTCCAGAATGGCAAAATTCCTAGTTGCACGGACTAACATAGCCCCCTAAAATGGTCACGTTTTTGACCAAAATTGCAATATGCATGGTTGCCCCAGGCCAGGTTAGCAATGTTTTTGGACCTTTTCTTGAAGCTACCGAAAAGCAAAAGTTACATGCAATTCCCCAGGAAACACCGGAGAGGTTTGGGATATGTTAGTTTGGGTCCTCACTGCTGCCAGGGGTACGTTTGATTTGGGGAGTGTAAGAGAAGAATATGCTATGACATATACACCTATGTAGAATATTATACTAGATAGTTGACGCACCCATCAGAAAAACACAAAGGACTTTGCGATCGCAAACTGGACTTGCCTAGTCTGGGGGCTCAACAACAGCTAGGTTTTGGCACATGCAGAGGACAGGGACGCGTGCGTGTATACACGTATTGAACACACAAGGTTGATTTGAGACCATATGTTCGACCTCAACTCATGACTTTAGCCGCTTTAGCCTCACTCGTGGATCGGGAGTAAATGGATGCAAACGGTGTCAACTCGCAAGAAGCTGTGCGACGTTGCTTTGTCACATCACGAGCAAATGCGATGACTTCGTATGGAATTGGCTCTCATTCGCCGCTTGCATGAACGCGCACCCAAAAAGGTGTCTCCTCCCGGGGTGAAATGAAGCTCTGAAAGCATCTGCAAAAAATTATGTGTTCGGTTGGGCTTTAGGTCTGGCATGTCATAAGAACACCGCGGTGAGGACGCATCAGCTGCACTACCTAGAGCAAACACGGCAGGGACGCCCCAGAAAATGTTAAACATGCAACGCTTACCCGGCGTTCTTATGTCTTCGGCCGGGCTTTGGGTCAGGCATGTCATGAGAACACCGTGGAAAGGACGCATCAGCAACACTACTTAGAGCAACCCTCCATTCATGATGAACGAACATCTTGGTCGAGGCGTGGCATTACTGCTCTGTCCCAGTGTCCTTGGCTTCGCTCAGCAGCGACCAGCTTGAACTATGGATGCATGAGTTTGACGAGGCTGCGCCCCTGATGAACTCGTTGGCCGAACGGCTTGTTCAAGGTTACGTGTCCGCCCAAAGCAATCACGAGGTGTCAATTCCAGTACCCGGCTTTCCTGCATCCTGCAGGACCCTTCTTCCTGCTTCTTTCCTTCTTTTTCGTTCTTTTCCCCTTCTTCTTTAAAGCTAAGTGTAATATAAAGATGCAAGTAAGCAGCAAACAATCACAACGTGTCAATTCCAGTACCGAAGTTTCCTGCATCTTGCATGACCCTTCTTCTTCCTTCTTTCCTTCTTCTTCATTCTTTTACCCTTCTTCTTCTTCTTCTTCTTGCTTGCTCCTTCTTCCTTATTTCATCCTTCCTTATCTTTCCTTCTTCTTCACCCATGCCATTGCATCATTTACATCATGACAGCCCCCGTTTGATTGCATCACTTGCATCCACAGCCTCCTCAACACTTACAATTTTGGTCAAATCGCATCCACCCACTTTTTGCCAGTTTTTCCCTACTAAATTCTGATTTTTGACCTTCCAAAACCACTCATTCCCAGACCCCCAAACACTCACCTCGTTCGCTATTCAGACCTTCAGCCTAGCCTACGGCTGGCTTTCGTAATTTTGTTCTACTGCATCTTTTTGATGCTTGCGCTGTATTCCTTTGTGTGTTCGGCGATTTTATCATATTGTATCATGTTTTTTGGACTCCCGTGGTCCCCTGTTTCGATGTGTTTTCTGGAGTTGTGGCTCAGGATGTCTCTGTCCCCCACAAAAAATTGTACGAGGCTCATCACAGAGTTGCCAGATTCTGCCCAAGTCAACCTAAGGCTCTAACAACACTTCCATGTTAGGACACAATCGATACTGGTGCATAAGAATGTGCCAATGGGTGGCGCCAATGTTTGAGTTGAGCAAGATGTAGAGTTGATGGGCCTTGTGAACTCGCGGGTCAGAACCTCCACATTCAGAACCTGTTCAAAACAAATTGTATAATGGTGTTATTTGTCGTTTTAGTCGTATAATGCTATAGACCTTTTCTTTATCCTTCCTTTCTGTCTTTCGCAGCTTCCTTCCGTTTCGTCTTCGGGCTTTATCGACGTTCTTTGGAGGCCTCTGAAGTCCAAAAGAGGCCTTAGGACAAAAAGGCTTCGAAGCTGTTGCAGTCCCAATGGTTGAGGCACACGCCTACTGGACAGTAACAATCATCATCCATCCATCGAGTAAATATGTCTTGACCTGAGTTCAAGATTCATGGTCCAGAAGTTCGCCAGAGATTGCTGCGCAAAAAGGCCGCGACAGCCTCTCGGAGTTTGTTCTGAGAAAGCCTGAAAGGCAACACTCGGTAAGCGCTCAGAATAAGACTCCCACGTTGCGCCGCAACTGCCGCCAAGATGCCATATTGGTCCATTGCTCCAGCGCTGCATGGGATATCTTAGGTCCATTTCCTATTCTGCCAGCAATTGCCCTAATTTGTGTGTCCAAATACAAGCAAATAAACTCATATACATTCATTTAGTTAGTAGGTGACAACCCATGTGCACATGTAAATGATACTTGCATTTGTACAGTAAAGGGCCAATTCCTAAGGGTCTTTATTTCTAAGCTTCAATCTTGAGGTTGAGCCAGCATGCCCACACATGCAACTATCAGCTGTCTGCTCCCGTGTCCTGTATTTAGGATTGTTTGCATAGGTGCGCAGCAGGTCATTGCTTGAGCACAATTTCAAGTCTAGTCTCTACTTACATAGTCACTTTGAAGGGCACTCAATGTCGAGACAAACCCGACCGCAGCTGAATATTGGTTGGAGATCTGTCGATCTGGACTGGCAAACACTCACCTGCAAATGCCTCACCCAACCCCTTTCATTTACCAATAGCTGCACAAGGGTGGTGTGATAGGGTTGGTCAATGGTGGTCACAAGCATGCAAGGGCACTAATGTCGCAATTTGTGTGTGTGTGTGCAGTGTGTACGCGTAAGTTTGTGCATGGAATCCGTGCATGAAATCAGCATCATGCCAAGTCAAAAAGAATGCAGTGATCTACTGCCTCCAAACACCGATGTCGGAAGGTGCGCACCGACTTAGTCAGCTTCTCGAAAGCGGGGAGCACTACATCCTGAATCCTCAGCACAGAAAAGAATTGAGAAACTATCATGCGCAAAGAGCAGGCACTTCAAACAGGACTCACTTGGGGAACCCAACGTGTTCTTGTCGAAAATCTCGAAGATTCGACTCAAGCCCATCAACACCTTCAACAAAACTCACGACGAGAGAATCAACAAATACAGGCACCCCTACATGAGTGAGAAAGGCTTCAACCATGGCTTGAAGGTTAGAGGCTGTCACACAAGTTGAGGCAGCATAAGATCGAAGGCTTTCTTGCATTAGGGGATGAGTCGCTTCCTGTGAGACTTGCAACCAGGCCCCACAAACTATGACAACGAAACAAGGTTGACTCAAGCACAGCCAACAAGCACTTAGAATCACTTAGATAGGAAGCCTTGCGGAAGTTTGTTTCTGGGAAGGGGCACCATCGACCTACGTTCTCTGGAACTGGAACTCTTTGAAGCAACCAGCACCGTTGCACACGGTCACGCAGGGCTTCGTAGCACTTTGTAGCGCTTCGTAGCACACAGGTGGTTTGCCCCGGCACACCTGCACCTAGTTTAAGCTTGAGACGTGAATAACGACCCGGCTAAAACGAGCCTTTTAGAAAAGTGTGGTATAAGTATACACAGCATTTCGGCTATGTCCGCAGGGCCACTGGGGAGAGTGTGGTGCTCCTTTGATCACTCGAGTGGGGCTAATGACGTTCGTTGTGGATGCTACGGCAACGATATTGCTGCTTGGATCATTGTGCAACGACATGGCTGCTTGGATCATGTTGTGGTGCAATGGACTTGCTGCGCAATGTATTTATATAGATATGTGATTGTGATGTGGTCATTGAACGTGTCCAGCAAAGATATGTTTTTGAATTTGTCATCCACACATATGGGGTGGAGTGGGGATAATGACGTGTGTTGTGGATGCTATTGCCACGACATTGTTGCATGGTGCAACGACATTGCTGCTCGGATCATGCTGTGATGCAATGGACTTGCTGCGCAATGTATAAAGACAGTATCTATGATATGATATGATATGGTCATTGAATGTGTCCAGCAAAATTTTTGGCTCAAATTTGTCATCCACACATATCAATTGGGGTGGGGACAATGAAGTTCATTGTGGTGGATGCTACGGCAACGACATTGCTGCGGGGTCATTGCAAAACGACAAAGTTGCTCGGATCATGCTGAATGTATCAAGATATATGATTGTAATAGGGGCGTTCAACGTCTCTAGCATATATATTTTTCCCGAGAGCGTCTGCGAAGGGTTCTTCGTAAAAAACATCTGCAGAAGTACGTATCATCTACATCTTCACATCTTCACCTGTGCACATCCACATTCAGACCTATATCTCTGCTCATGTTCACATCTGCACATCTACATCTCTGCTCATCTTCACATCCTCACATCATCTCTGCTCATCTTCACATCTACAGCTCACATCATCTCTGCTCATCTTCACATCCTCACATCTACAGCTCACATCTTCACCTCTCGCTCTCTTAACTTTCTCTCTTAAGGCCGGGGGAAGTGCCGCCGGACCGCCACGAACCCCAAATGCAAGCGAGAGTGCGATTTGCGTTTGTCCGTCGCAACCCTCTGCGGAGATCGTGCGCGTCGAGTGCGCGAAATGCAGGCGAGAGTGCGATTTGATCCGGTCCGGCGCAACCCTCTGCGGAGATTGTGCGTGTCGAGCGCGCGAAATGCAGGCGAGAGCGCGATTTGACCCCGTGCGGCGCAACCCTCTGCGGAGATCGCGCGTGTCGAGCGCGCGAAATGCAGGCGAGACTGCGATTTGACCCGGTCCGGCGCAACCCTCTGCGGAGATCGTGCGTGTCGAGTGCGCGAAATGCAGGCGAGAGTGCGACTTGACCCGCTCCGACGCAACCGTCTGCGGAGATCGTGCGTGTTGAGTGCGCGAAATGCAGGCGCTTTGTAGTACAACTTTAGCACGCAGAGCAATCTGTGGAGCTGGAAGCTGAGAACTGGCGAATTTGTAATACAACTGCAGTACGCGGAGCAAGCTGTGGAGCAGGAAGCTGAGAACTGGCGACTTTGTAGTACAACTTCAGTGCGCGGAGCAATCTGTGGAGCTGGAAGCTGAGAACTGGCGACTTTGTAGTAGAACTGTAGTACGCGGAGCAATCTGTGGAGCTGGAAGCTGAGAACTGGCGACTTTGTAGTACAACTGTAGTACGCGGAGGAATCTGCGGAGCTGGAAGCTGAGAACTGGCGACTTTGTAGTAGAACTGTAGTGCGCGGAGGAATCTGTGGAGCTGGAAGCTGAGAACTGGCGACTTGCTAGTACAACTTTAGTACGCGGAGCAATCTGTGGAGCTGGAAGATGAGAACTGGCGACTTTGTGGTACAACTGCAGTACGCGGAGTAGGTGGGGAGCTGGAAGCTGAGAACTGACGACTTTGTAGTACAAATTTAGTACGCGGAGTATCTGAGGAGCTGGAAGATGAGAACTTGGAGAATTGGTGCTTCATTTGTGGAGGAAGTCTCGTACGAAACACCGCAGATCTCCCTCTCGACCCCCCACGCTCCCACATATCGGCGTCGCTCGATCACACCTGCGCATCCACATAGTCACTCCTTCACATCCGCCCTCTCCTTCTTTCTTCATACTACACATCTTTTCTCTTAGAGGTCATGCCTTTAGGACGTCAATTTGAACTATCGGCTTGCTCGGAATCTCGAAAATCTCCTGTCTCGCATGTTTGAGGGGTTCTTTCATGATGTTCTGTGGAGCACTTGAAGAGTTTGAGCCTGGACCTGCATCGAGCGATGACGTGACCGTTGTGGTTGGAGCCTTATGTGGAGTCAGTACTGCAAGGCTAGACAGAATTTGGACGATATATGTTTTCAACGACATTCGACTAGTGATTACGCAAACAACGCCTTTAGGTGTCGGTGGCGGATGGATGGAGGATGAACTCCGTGGTAGGAGTGTCTGGAGCTTGGATGTTTGCATGGAGCTAGTGAAGAGATTGCAAGTTTGAATGGGTACAGGGTGCTATGCAGAATTTAGATGTTACATGTTTTCAACGATATTTGAACAGTGATGACGCAAACAATACGTTTAGGTGTCGGTGGCGGATGGATGCAGGATGAACTCGGTGGTCGGAGTGTCTGGAGCTTGGACGTTTGCACGGAGCTAGGGAAGGCATTGTAAGTTTGAATGAGTGCAGGTTGCTAGCAGAACACGCTGGCGGAACAAGCTTTTGGTTCGAGTCGCGTACCCGGGACGCGCGGCGTTGTAGCACGGCGACTGTTCTGTTATTAGAAGGGATTGTCCGCGATACTGGAGCAGTTGCCGCGCGCATCACAGGGTCTGCGATGGGAAGAGTTCCGCAACAATACCAGGAACCAGGGAGCGGAATGGCTTCGTGGGCGTTTACAAGAGTTGGGACGGGATGAGCTGCGCAGCTTGGCGGTTAGCGGAAGCATCAGAGCGAAGATGGGCGACAGATGGCTGCCGGTTGCGCAACTGCGCTCTGCATTGATGGAAGCCTTGGCGCCAACAGAGCAGGCGCAAGCGCTGTGTTTTCGGTATAGATAGGTAAATACTTCCAAGGTTACAGGGTATATGTACTGTTAAGTAACGCCGGCAGGCAGGAGGTTGGCAGTGACTGTTTCTTGCTGATGAGAATTGAATTGGGTTGTTTTTTGCGAGCCTATGCCTTGTTGCAGGCGAGCTCATCTTCAAGGTCTGCAGCGGAAGCTCGATGGGAGGAGTTCCGGAACAATGCCGTGAACGAGGGAGCGAAATACTTTCAAGAACAAGATGTCTTTCACATCAAGTGTCACGAGGACACGACATTGAAGCCGACAAGGCGTTGGCTTGAGCAGATTCCGGACTTGGTGGCTTCCTGTTTGCGACAGTGGAAAATCGTCTGCCACCAGCTATGGAAACAGTCCATGCTGGTGGTCATGGAAGACAAATCCATGCACGTGCTCTTTCACTGCTTTGGTGGCATCAATCGGAGCGCGGAGGTTTTGTGCGCTTCACTCGTTGTCGCGTACGAGCACTCCGCACTGGAAGCCGTGCAGTTGCTACTTCAAAAAAGGCCAGCATTGCGGCGTTGCGTCCTTGGCGCAATCGACCCTATGTCTTGGAAGCGTTGTGGCACCTGGAAGGTTTGCGCGCGGAATGGCAGAGAGACTTCAGCGCAGCACACCGAGACTAGTTTGTGTCGCAGGTCGTC